TCCCGTTCCAGTTGCAGCTCTGAAAAGAATTTCCACCTGGACTCCAGTAGATGTATGCAAGGAAGACAGACGATGACAGCATCAGGGAACAGCATCTCACACTTTGAACTGCATCACACAAGGCTCTCGGTAGACACTGTCACATCACGGGTCACTTACACAGCACAACTATGGACGTTTCAGCAATTTATTTTCTGATATAGCTTCCAACACAAAATACAATTTTTAAAAATTTAAGACTACACACCTAAACTCACATATTAGCCACTACTGACAAATTCCCCTTCCCCCAAAAAAAACCCAAACAGAATTATTTTGCTACTTTTGTCTCCAAAAAAAGCACAATAGCATCTTTGAAAATAACACTGTATAAAATCTAGATTAAAATCCATAATGGAATAGTAGTCATACACCTCAATAAATTGGTAACAATACTCAAGATATCAGATACTGAAAACCAGTATTATTTAAGAGCTGTTCTTGCGGTCTAAAACTAACACCTTTGCACAAATTGGTAATAAATCAATTCATGTTGTTGAAAAACAGATAATTCTCAATTTTCAAGAAACATGAAGTGGCTATTTTCCATCTGTATGGACTAGGAGAGTATCAAGTGAAATAACTACTGTTTGCATTTGTTTCTGCTGGTTTTCCTATAGGCCCATTGAAGCAATTCTCAGAAGCACATTTGAAATATGCAATTCTGCATCATTCCACTTAGTACCTACGCTCAGTCTAACTGCTAGGGAAGTCTGTGCACTTGCCTGATATCCTCTATAAATACTTCTGACTGGCAGCTGTCCTTCCATAATTCCACAGCTTTAGTTCAAATCTATCTTCAGTCTTTCCCTCGGTAAGAAGCATCTATGCTGCAAGGAACTAACGCAAAGAAAATACAAAATTGGTCAGGAAGAACTTCTGATGGACTGAAAATAAACATGATTGAGGGTTGTCATCTGCTTTTGCACGTCTTTCCAAAGCAGAGTGAACATCTCAAAAATTACACTGAAAAAATGTAATAGCTTACAAGAAAAAAAAAAAAAGAAAAAAAATCAGGCTCCATGTGGTTAAGACCACAAGAGATCCTTAGCATATGGGTCACTTTTACAGACATTGAGTCACACTCATGGAATCATTCAAACACAGAGAACCAGCCCTTGTGTAACTCCATGTCAAAGGAGCTGCTTCCACCTGCAGTGAGACTAGTTCTGTATCTTGGTAAAATTAGCCCTTGCTCCTTTTTAGAAGCACTTCCGTATTTTCCCTCCCAAGCATAACATTTTGAGCTACACGGAACTAAAATGACATTTTTTGTCTAAATTTTAATACAAAAAAGGTCTCACCACGTCCCAACTCTAATAAACTAAGGGGAACAAGCAACAGCAATACACTAAGGGGCTGCATTTTTCTTCTGTGCGACAGAACTAAACAATTCCAGGAGGCAGGGCTGGAAAAGTGTTCCAATGCCCTTTCTCCAAGGGAGCATAACCAGCCTCCACAGAGAACATCCATCACTTCTCAGTTTGACCTGCATGATTTGCACCAGCAATATAAAAATGTGAACAACGTGTCAAGCTGTGGAAGTTCTGCTTGCATGAATAACTTGGTGAGCAATATCTAAGCTGTTCTGAAGGGAACGTACGCCAGAGAGGCCTGTAACTGAAGCTCAGCCAATACACGTTTGTTGCCATAGACTTCAAAAGACAAAACTCCTATTGACTGAGAAGAAACCCACTTATTATCCAAAAGTTTGTATTTATTATCTGTTTCAAAGGAGCTCCTCCCTTCTTTTCTCCTATTCTCTTACCTTTTTAATAACTTCTGTTCTTTTTATATTTCGCACAACGAGGGAGGAAATAATTACATGCTTCTCTGCTGACAACTGGTACTTCTCCTCCTCTTGCAAATGGAAACAGCAACTAATTCCCCTCCTAATATTTACTTCAGTATGTGTCATTCTCCTCTGTCAGTTTATGCTCAATAGAAAGTTAGAGAATAAAAAGGATTATGTTGTTCCTTTAGAAATTTATTTATGAATAGAACATTTTTAGACACTTAAAATAAAGTGGGTTTTTTAAAAAATCTTTTAACTTTGAGAAAGATCATTCTAGATCCCTGCAGTGATGTACTGCAAAGCTTAGGTTAAAGTAGAACACCTACTTTGAGGCAGAAAAATACGTCCACACAAATGACACTACTACTCAACTATTTTACTTCAGTCACATACAGAGCTATTCTACACTGACTAGTCCGAAATATTCATGCAATCAAATTTTATTGGCATCAACAGTTACGGCAGGTGAATTGCAGAGTCGCATGCAGGAGCATTCATAAAAGCAACATTTTAGAATCACATGTGGGAGAGTTCACACAAAGTCTACCACAGTTATCTCAGAATAAAATCCACTAGGCTTATTTTGTGCCATTAACTTCGATGAGACAGCGTACTGCAGCCTGTTTACTACTTTTACAGGAACAGGAAGAGATCACATTTTCCAGGTGTAGTTCTTCAACACTATAAAGGATCATCAAGGTTTGCCATTTGCATTATTCAGAGCTGCACACATTCTGCTCGTCTCATTGATCAAGTCAGTTTTTGGACTGTAAAAAAATAAAATCAAATAATGGATTTGCAAGGTTTTTTTGCTTTACAATTCACTAGAACAAGAAACAGTTGTTGACATGTACACCATTTTATTTTAAGGACACAGCAATCACATTGACAACAACCAAACCATTACTTGAACACTGTAAGCTTTTCTCTAGGAACTTAACTTGCACACAGTTAGATCTGAAAGCATTTTAAACAGTATCTTGGGGGAAAACACAGCAAACTTTAAATATATTAACTTCAAACTTTATGTGCTTATCTCCTCTTTTTGGTAGCTGGTGGCAGTTAAAGCTCTTCAAAGTCATGGCCACTTGTATTCATCGCTTCAGGGTGCATTACCCTTCCCATGAATAACACAGTACCTGTGGAAAAAGTGGGGAGAAAGGGATGGAAAGATGTCAGAACCAGAAGGAAAAGTTGAGGTTATAAGATGGTGAATGCTGATAGTAAGTTCTACAGTATGTGGTGCACAATTTTTACAGGAATGTGTATCTCTCAGCTTGGTAGCCACGAAAGGCAATGGATGAACAGCGCTGGAGAAGAGGACGTCTGTGTTCAGAACTGATCCGGTACAAACACAAACAGTGAAATCCTCCGCACCCCAGTGCCCCTCTGCTTGTTCCAACAGCTTGACTGAAAGCTCAGAAACCAACTCAAAGGTTTGCTTCCGTTTCAATGTTCTGATGAAGGCCCATGAACAACTGCCACTGACATCAAGTGGTCATGACACAGTAGTGGTTTCCAGGCTGGGGTGGCAGCTAACCTTAAATGGAGCGTGAACCCCTCTCATCAGAGAAACCTTCATGATCACTTCTGACCCTCACATGCCTGAGGTGCTGGACAATGTTCCTCGTAGAATTAAAAGTGAGCTCCAGAAGCCACCACCACAGTCAATTAACGATTATTAATAGAGAGATACTTTGAGTTCACAGATTTACTCCACATTAGAACATGCAACCCACAACAAGGAATTCCCTATATCCATACTACTCCCCTATGCTATTTAATCACCAGTTACACCTTTCCCATTTTATACACACAGAGTATTATGAGTACTTAAGGTATTCTTGAGAATAAAGGTACCCTTCACAGATTTCTTTTAAAATAAGGTTTCTTGATTAGTAATGAGTTTTAAGACATTCGTTACTGGTGATTCCTCCTTCTACCTGCAGCAAGGTCTGTGCAACATTAAGGACTGCCCCAAAGCTATCAAGCTCTATTTTGCTCTGATTTAAACTTCATTGCAAGCAGTTTTTTGTATATTGAGTAGGAAGGTGAGATAACCTCTTCCAGATGCATTTTTGCCTGAGTATATGTCCACAACAGCAAGGATACTCAACTTCGTTTTGGTGAAAAGAAACCCCTAAGAGTTGGTACCATGTCTTGCACACAAGTGACCCTACCTGGCTAGACTGTAATCATTACTGCCATCTAAATGGTTTAATGAACACTGAGACCCACGATGGGGATCTCAAATACATAAAATAAATCGTCAAACTGAACCTTCCAGAGTTTGCTGGTAGAACATGTAAGATATATGTAAAATATGATTGTCCGTGGGTGCGTAGTGATGTTTTGCCACTCTGTCATATCCACATCATTAAGCCAAATTACCAATATGAAACTAAGGAATTACTTAATCATTGCCCATTTTGCTAGTGAGTGCTGTTCTCATCCATTGCCTGCCACTGAACACTTCAAGAGTACAAGAGAATTATTCATAGCTGTAATATCTGTCCATTATGCAAATCATTTGGTAGCTGGAACATCTCTCACTGATTTTACTACAGCCAAGCTCTTATGGAATGCAACGATTATGGATATTCAGGGCAGTAACACTCTGTTCTCTGAAGGAAAAAGTTGAATTTTTCTTCCCTAGGGTTTTTAATCACAGAATTGTGAAAATTTTTTCAAGATTATGTCAGATTTTGGTGGCTGCCTCAGAGAAACTTTAAGGAGACACAGAAAAGGTCAGCCTTTCAATATTAAGTATTTTAAGGCAAATTAAGGAAAATTCATAATACAAGGCCAGTTCATTGATGAAAACACGTAATTTTCTTATGTATACTTGATGCAATACTGTGAAAAATGTAAAAGATTTTGCTATATTCTCACCTGTTCTTCTGTTTCTGACCAAAAAGAAAAAGGGATGATCAACTATAACTTGGGGATACAGCACTGCCATTCTGCTAATGGCAATCATTCCTAAAGGAAAAAGAACATAGGCAACTTGTCAAATATCACTGCACATCCTCCTGCGCTTCATGAGATCCTTGTGAAACTCATGAGCAGACACCGAAGTCCCACGCTCTCAGCTCTAAACATCACCAAGAAATTGCATGAAAAATCTAACTGAAAATGGAAGGGACCTACAGAGTAATTGCATGCCTATTTATGCTTTAAGAATGATTAACAACAGAGAGTGGCACCATTTCCCAGGCTGAGGGAGCAGCTTATAAATTTTAAGATCCAGAACCTTAAGAGAGTTATGACTCCCACTCACTTGTAGAAAGAAAATGCATTATGTTAGACAGCACTGCTGACCTGTTTTAAACAGCTCCAAGCCTGTAGTAACCCTTAATAAGTATGGAATATGCAACAACCAAATGGGCTGATCTTGCAGCTTCTAACTTGAGTCTTTAAATAATGCAGAGGTTGAAAGTAAAATTAACTGGGAATCAGGCAAAATTTGGCTCTTTGTTATTTTTATTTGGAGATGCATTGATTTCTTCAGGACATTATTATTTGCCAGTGTTTCATTTACTTTTGCACTTTCACTGTACTGTTAATAAAGTCATGCATGCCAGTAATCTCTGTCCATATTAATGTTACAATTCAAGCCAGTTACTGATATTCATGACCAGGGAGGTCATTCTTCCTTTCCTCAAAAACTGGTACGAGTAGAGGCAGTTAGAAATCACCTAATGATACACAGTGGCAAAACCCCATAAACTTATTTTCAGGAAAAGCATGTGATAACCAAGAAAACCAACCACCTGGCCTCCTAGCATTAGGAGTGGCCAGCCACGTTTTCACATTTAGCACTTCCCACCTTGCATGTCTGCATATGAACTTATTGCGAAAAATTATGACTGCTTAAATTCCATAAAGAAAATACAAACTGCAGTCTGTACCCTCCTGACAATCAGAAGCAAAATAAGGGAGAAGGTTTTCTACAGAAAGCTCAACATTCTTTGTGAAACACACCATGTTAAAAACCATGCTAACATTTTTCATTTCCAGAATTCTCTTCTGAAAAGCAGTATACTTGCTATGCTGTGCCTTTGTCCTACATGCTCTTTAGCTTTCCTGGCTGTACAGCAAGTCAGTTTGACAAAATTAACACAGAATAACCAGACATTTGATTTAGTTCTGCTTTTCAATCCGGTACCTGAGGCAGCAGCAGCTTCTGATCCTTCCTCATTAACTTCTAGAAATGCCTTGTGAAATGCCTTTGCAAGGTAAAGTTCTTTGTTATCTGGAGAGGAAAAGGAAACATATTTCAAGTGGCTCAACAGTAAGATAGAATTATTTAAAAAACCCCAAACCAAACACTGATCCCCCCACCCCCCACCTCATTATTCACCTTCTATACCAAGTAGGGCAGGATAAGAGCTTTGCCTATAGGAGTTGCATTAAAATATTGTGTTGGGTTTGTGTGGTGGGGCTTTGGTAGGAGGGGAGAGGGGCCTACAGGGGTGGCTCATTATCCTACTTTAATTTAATTGGTACCTAATTAAATTGATCTTTTTCCCCAAGTCGTGTCTTTTTTGCCCGTGACCATAACTGGTGAGTGATCTCTCCCTGTGTTGTCTCAACCCACCAGCCTTTCCTTGTGTGTTCTCCTCCCCATCC